GGGGGGGAATCACAGAACACAACAGCGCGTATAGAACGCTACACTTTGGAGTAAGAAAGACGGAGGAGAATATGGATTCGATGACACTTACATCTGCATAAATAACACTGAAAGCATATACCAGGGAAGTAAAGGGGTTGCACATCGTGGGGGGATAGGCAACAGGACGGAAGTGGGGCAGACAGGAGCATACATCTCCTTGGATGTGTCTCTAACATTTTCAAGGTTTTGGACAAGAGTACTGACGGAGGCCCATATACTCTTGTAAATATTTAAAAGCTCCTAAATAAAATATGCTCTATGCCTCTCCTTTGTAAACATACTTTCATAAGCACCAGGAAGGTCAATTTAGAACCCAGATGTCTGCACTGGATCACGACGTGAGCAAAGCCAGCCTTGCTCCCTGGCCACGCACGGCTCTGTCTGGCCCAGGGGAAGGGGGCTTCATGCATAGATGCATGGGCACTTCTGCCTGCATTAGTCTAAGCTCCAGCCACATTTGTGCCAACAGATGCTTCCAGAACATGTGGCGCCGTTGGACAACAGACCCACGGGAGAATCTCATTGCAAGTCCTTGGAATCAGAAAATTCCAGAATCCCAGATGATCCAAGAGTGGGGTCTAGAAAAGTGGGGTAAGTGGTGCCAGTTCCTGGTAGACATGTCCCCTGAGCCCCGGGGATGCCTCACCCTACAGGGAGGGGCATGGCTGGCAGAGGGTCAGCGAAGGTCCCAGCACAGAGCCCCTTTGTATAGATCCAAGGATATTACTTTTTTATCCATGTTGGTTTTTGAATCGCACAAGCTTGACATATTAAAAAATATCTAAAATTATATTTAAACACTTGCACAGTGAAACCTTATTCAGCATCGGTCTGCCTTCCGGATTTCCATGTCCTGAGGGGCCTCCTCTACTTAAAAGTTCTGGGCACCTGCACCTCCCCTCCCTCTCTGGTTCAGAGTCCCTCCAATGCAGCTTCAGGAATTGGCTGGTCCAGGAGGGCCACCTGCCCCCAAATTTGCATCACTTACGTTGTAGAGGAGGTCAGTCCACCCTTCCATGGTGATGCACTGGAAAACAGTCAGCACTGCAAATAGGATGTTGTCGAACTGAGTGATCCCATTGTTGGGCCCTTCCCAGTAGGGCTGACATTTGGTCCCATTGGGGCAGGTGCGGGCGGGTTCCTCTGTCCCACACGGAGCCGGAGACTCACCCTGAATGTCATCTATGAAAGAGAAGAGGAGAAAAATCAGGGGAAGGGGCTGGGAAAATCAACTCTGAGAAATAGGGGCTGTAAAGATTCAATGCTGTTGCAAAAATAAAGACTACTGGAATGAATTTATCAATGTTTTTTTTTTTAAGTTTGGCTTTGCTCATCTAGTCATTGGTGTCTGTTTTAGGAATTTCTTCTCTAAGCTTTATTACTTTTCCGGTGCATTTCCCAAACTTTCGCGATGCATTCCCTTTCTTTAAGGCTACAAATTGCCCTCTGAGCGCAGCTTTAGCTGCATCCCACAAAATCTGTCATGCATTATTGTCATTATTGCGCAAGTAAAATATTCTTTGACCCATAGATAGCCAAGATGCTTTTTTTTTTAAGTCAGATATATAAAAATAGAATAGTGTAATGAATCCCCATGCACCTATCATCAACTTTAACGCTTATCAACTCAGGGTTAATCTTGCTTCATCCGTATCCCCTCCCCACACTTTGCCTTGCCACTAAAATATTTTTTTAAAGCAAATCTCAGATACCCTATCATGTCATCCACAAACAAGAAGCAGGTCTCTTGATTTCCAAACACTTTCTGAGTTATCCTTTTGTTGCCAATTTCTAGCTTAATTACACTGTGGTCAGAGGATATGTTCTGTATAATCCAGTCCTTCAAAATCTGTGGCGATGTGCTCTATGTTCCCGAATACAGCCAGTTTTGGTGAATATGCTGTGTGCTTTGTGCCATGGTTGGGTGCTGGGTCCTCCAGACTTCCATTAGGACAAATATGTCAGTCGTGTTATGCTGTTATTCTGTAGCCTGATTGTTTTCCATTTCCTTTTCTCTTCTCTCCTCTCTTTTCCTTCTTCTTCTTTCTTTCTTTTTTTTCTTGAGATGTACTAGGCACAGGGAGCTGTTCTGGGGGCGAGGGAGGCCAGTACACATGGTACTTACTTACCCTTAGGCACAGGCGCTAAGTTTTCTCCCCAAACGGCAAGAGGCAGATTGTAAAAATGCCACAACGAAAGAGACACTTGCCAACAGATGCTGCTTTCGCAGACAATCAACGACAGCTTCGTGGCGAGGTTGGGCTGGGCGCCCAAGGTGGGGTCTGAATTCCAAGGGATTGAGGGCGAGACCCCAGGAGCACACAGGAGCACAGAATGACCTAGGTGTGTCCCCACTGGACCAGAGCAGCAGGTACGAGAGGGTCCTGTTCAGTGAGTCGCACTTTTGAAGGATTTCAGAGAGCGACACTGTCCGCCAGGAAAGCAGCCCAGTGTGCAAACTCAAGCTCTCCACCAAACAAAAACGTATCTCAACGTATGTGCTACGGGCACAAATGCCAACCTCCACTCAGCACACAGCAGAGAGAAATAAACGATGGAATGTGTGAATTTTATTGGCCTTTGAAACTCCAGTTGAAGGTCATGCAAAGAGACACCTGCCACTCTGGGAAGTGACACTCAGTGCTTGAGAAGCGCTGACCACACTGGCGGCTCGTTTAACTGGCTGGACATGCCTCCCTCATTCACGCTGCACTTGGGACAGGGGCTGAGATTTAATAAATACAGGTTGGAAGGCAAAATCTTCTGAACAAAAGGCTAAGAGCAGGGAGAGAGGAAATGCACGGGTTCCTATAGCAGACGAGAACCACTGTTGTTTGGGAAGGCCGCCTCTGTCCAGAACCTTCTCTGTCTCCACCCTGCGACCACATCGGGCTCAGTTCCCACCCCCGTGCGGCCCCCTGCGTCAGCCAGTGAACGCTGGTCCCGCCTTCCCTTCAATGGCTCCGGAAGGTTCGTTCATATTTGCCGGGGGAAGGGGAGGTAAGAGCACGCATTGGGCTTCACTGCTACGAGCTGGTGGCAGACGAGGAGTCTTGTCTGGAAGCTGTTGGAAATCAGGAAGCCTCCACTTTACCTTTGCATTTCCCCGAGTGCTGAGCACAGTTCTGGGCGTGCAGGAACCGGGTTCCCGATGACAAAAGAGTGCAGCTGGAAACCTGACTCTCTTTAGCAAGTTTGCATCGTGGTGCTCTTGATTTCGT